CCCCAAAACCCCAAAACCCCAAAACCCCAAAACCCCAAAACCCCAAAACCCCTTTCATTTAATCCATAATTGAAATTAGAGATATTTAATTATAGCAAATTGAGGGATACCTTCAAAGGAAGAGAGCTTAGAATTCATCATCTCCATCATCTTCTGCATCTCCATTTGTCGTACCGATGAAGTCTCCATTGAGATTATAAATATTTCCTTCTCCATCCATAAGGAATTCCTCTTCTTCTCCTTCTATTTGTATTTTCTTAAGTCCTCTTGCCGCCAATTCTTCTTCATTATCAATGTCAATAGCATCGGAGTCTTCATCATCTTCGTTGTCTTCGTCTGGCAAATTATTAGGTGGAGTTTCATTTTCAGTTGGAGTATCATGAGGTTTAGATTTATGATCACTGAGGTCGTCAACAAGCCCATCAAACATATCATGATTTGCATTTATTTTCTCATCTTCCTTATCCATTTCGAAGTCATCAAGCATGAAATTCTTATCATTATTCTTAAAATCTTCGTTATTGGCTCCACTGAAAATGTCCTTTTCAAACTCTTGAGGCTTGATTAGTTGTTCTTCTTTCTGAGCAGAGTTGATGTCTAATTCCCAGTCTTCTCTTTCACTATTTTTATTTGTATTCTCATGTAAATTTTCTTTGTTCTTTAGTGGGGAGTTTCCAGACATATGAGTCTTGAGCTTTTCAATTAAATTCTCAATTTGGTTCCTTGACACAACCTTTGGATCAACAAACTTATTGTGCTTTGTGAATAACTCATCAAGAAGGTCTTGAGACTTCTTATTCTGTACGTCATCAAGCTTGACTTCATGTACGTAAGTCTTATGAGGATTCTCTTTGAAGTAGTACTGAATTCCAAGCTTTGGAGGATCATATTTGAGTCCAAAGTTAGTAGGTATAACCTTTCCTTTCCTTGTGCCTCCTTCCATTTACGCGAATTTAAAATTTAAATATATTAAGTGCATATAGGGGTTTTGGGGTTTTGGGGTTTTGGGGTTTTGGGGTTTTGGGG